CCACCCACCGCCAACTCTTGGGATACTCTTTTACCAACAAATAGTGGGATTGACCGTCACGTTATAACTCCCCCACGGCTGAAAGGGCGAGCATGTTTGGTGTGACGGGGATTCGAACCCGCGGCCCGCAGATTGCGAGTCGAGCGCCCTAACCACCTGGCCATGCCGGGCTGGAGGGCATTACAGGCACGTTTTCGAATGAGAGTGCTGAGATTTCTATTTCTTTAGGCATTTCACTCATAAAAATGCATGGCTGGAAGATTGTGAACTTTAGGCTCGTGTGCTTTCGTCAACTTCAAATACTAGCCTTTTTTATTTTTTATTACTAGCAGAAATACTCGCCCTCCGGACAGGTAACTGCTAGTTCCTGATGAAGGCTATTGGGCCTTTGCTGGAATTTTCTAACAGTTCTACAACAATTTACTCATACTTGACATTTCAATAATGTTCACCATTCATGAGAAAAATGATTTTATTGAAATTTTAAGTTTACAGATGAGCTATCATCACAGCATTACATCACAGAGTAGATTTTATTGAAGTATTTCTTTGTAGATGCAGTTATCAATGAAAGTGCCATTCTTTTCTGTTGCATCATTCGTGAGATTTTCACTAAAAAAAATGTTTTTAAGTTTTTTTTTATTATTGTTTTATATTTGAAACTTGCTCCTTTTTGTAATTTTTATTCGTTAAATCGGAAACATTATTTTTGTGGAAATTTCAATTGTTTTGCTCTGCTATAAAAATACTGCCTTGTTATACAAATATTAACCAGTTATGATTGGTGTGGAAGTTTCCGAGATCCGAGTTTTGGACGTATATATCACAAGTTATATTATAACAAGATTAACAGCCCAGTTTCATCATAATGACTTTATAGTTTGTTTTGTCTTTTTATTAAGCAAAGTCATCACTTTCCCGAGTGGTACGTGGTTTCGAAGCTCGTTACTGTCCTAAACGCTCCGAAGAACAGCGAATTACCTACTTTGTTTAAAGATCTTTTTTCATGATTGATTCTTTTTGGAAAGGCTTTTTTTTTCTTTTTTTAGATACCCCTCCAATCACGACCATTGGCAGCATTATACTGTCCTAAGGTAGAAATTTCGCTGTGAATGAAATGTATAGGTACTAATCATGCCGCTCGTGGCACCACTATATTAGTACACATAAACCGTCCAATTAAAGTACGATTAACACTCCCAAGCTTCACACATGTGCATTCCAGAGCCGAATAACTACAGATAAACAACTGAACACATACCTTTAACTGTTTTTATATATCTTGCCTTCTTATTAGAAACTTAGAGCCAAAAAATATTAAAAAAAGAAAATTCAATAAAATGATTGAAACCACAGAAACCGTAAAAACCTAAGAGTCTTAGAACAAACGACAATGTAACTAACTTTCAATTTAAAAATGTTAGGGTACAGAGAAACTGGCAATGCATTAATACAGATAACGACAAAAATAATAATTCTTTAACATCTAATCATAAGTTTGGCTTAACAGAATTAAGAAGAAAAAATACCCTTAAACCAATATTTGTAATAAAAACATCTTTGTAGAGCTATTTATCAATTTACACGAAATAATAAAAAGTATTTTTTTTAAAGTAAGATGACACTAAGTTTACTTTCATTACGTCAGGAGTTTTTAAGTCAGTTCGATAGCGTAATGTTTGGATTCAAACTTACCTTTAAAAAAGTATGCCTCGTCTTGTGTGTAAGTCCAAATATGAACGTAGCCATCTATGTCTTCAGGAAGGTCTTTCCACTCTGGTTTGATATATCGGGGGTCACCGTACCGCGTTCGATTAAATCTGTTCTCGTACATCCAGTAGTGGTCATTTCGGAAGAAGAAGGTATTATAGATGGTTTCTCCATCCGGCCTCTTACGTACCCAATCAAACATAGTGTCGAAGCGCCCCTCACAGACCCCTATGTACCCAGAATAACGAATATATTTTTATTTTGGTTAATGCTGTTTTGTTAAAAAAATGAACTTAAATCGAAGTTAAAAATAAGAATCTGAATTATATGTTCAGACATTTATAGGTAGATGCAATTCACAAGGACAAAATATTTATTTCTTCTATAGATTAAGTTTATTTGTTTTTGAATTTTGTGCAAAGCTGCTCAAGGGCTATCTACGTTAGCTGTCCTTAATTTAGAAGTGGTAGAATAGAGGGAAGGCAGATATTAACAGCACACAACACCAACTCTTCGGTTACTCATTTTATCAACAAAAAGTGGGATTGACAGTCACTTTATAATGCCACTACAGCTGAAATGGTTTGCTCGATGACGGTATTCACATTGGCGACCCATAATTTGAGAGTCGAGCGCCCTAACCAGCAGGGCATGCCATGCCCTCTAGATCGAGAAGAAATTTTGTGGTGTTAATTCAATGCAGTAGAAAATTCGGATGAGTTTAGGAAATATTCATTTTTCGAGTAAATTTAAATACATTGAAATATATACTTACACATATCCAATTCTATGTGCATCGTATAGGTCAAGGCAAAGTATTCATAGTTAAGCAGGTACTAATTTAACAAACGAGTGAGTATCAGAGTTTAAACCAGGAATTGTCTAAAACTTTGCAGTAAAGAAAACTTGCGGTGAATAGAGCACAGATAAGTGTAGTCTTGCGCTTAATAACAAACACATAGAATATTAAAAATATACATGGCACTGGCATTATATGTTTAATAAAATTCAAATTTTCATATGGAATTCGCGATATTTTTCGGTGTGATTATACTCCATTAAATAGAGTAGACATTAAAAATCAAAACAATGCTGAGCTTCAATGTCTATCAAAATAATCGAAAACAAACTGAGGCATAACCAATCTTGTATGTTAAGCAGAAATCATGCTAACAAAGAACTAGTGTACTGAACAATATATAGGTTCAGAGGACGCCACAGTATCGCCAATAACCAAATTAGAACCGAACAAAACACGGGTTCAGAGGACGCCACAGTATCGCCAATAACCAAACTAGAACTGAACAATACATGGGTTCAGAGGACGCCACAGTAACGCCAATAACCAAATTAGAACTGAACAATACACGAGTTCAGAGGACGCCACAGTATCGCCAATAATCAAATTAGAACTGAACAATACATTGGTTCAGAAGATGCCAGTGTCACCAATGGCAACGTAAAACTACTACTATAAAAAATGTCACCTTTTTCGGACTGAGCTAAGGTATTGTTTCTTTACCTCCTTAACTAAGGATGGAACGAATCGTACTGGTACCTCATCTACAAAGCTAGAGGTGGAGTGAGTAGTAGTTGTAATAGTTGTTCGTCTCCGGGTTATGAAGATAGAGTTCATCTCCGGGTTATGAAGATAGAAAGTTATATTAATACCTTGTCTCTGTATTTAGGAATGACGTGATTACGTAACGTTCTTCCTTTGTTCTATCATACTGTTATATCTATACAGAAAGTAGTGACGTGGTTGACATTCATTCTTCTACTTTGTTTGAATTACTAGTTTCTTACATTTCTTAAGTAACAATTAAGTTACTTTGTTTTCACATAAAAATAGAAACTGAGACTAGTTTATTTTACTGGTGAATACAATCAAAATTGCATTGAATAATGTGAAATTACTATATTTCATTTTTAATTGGATATTAATTTCCAATGCTATTTAATCTGAACACCCCCTCCCCCTATCTTGTGCACGGTATCCTTGGTTACTTCCCTTTCTTAGCTGGTCTGACTGTCAAGTCTTAATAGGGAAGAATTAATATGCGACTAAACTATCAACGTATAAAATTCCTATACGTCCAGGCTATGTAACAATGCCATATATCGGTAAATATTATTTATACTCTTAACAACAACAATCAATCGTACAGGATGTACTTTTAAACCAGGATGTTGTCTGCTCTATTTCTTCAGATACAAAGACCACACTTTTTTTTAAAAACATCACATGTATTTTAACAATTTACTTGTAACTTTGAAAGAAAGGTTTATCGGTTCGACGATAAGAAATATGTTGATTGTTAAGTATATTGGAGCATGCACGAGATGGGTGTGACGTAGTCGTCCTATCAAATTATTTTAGGATCTTAATGGAGGATAACGATGAAGAAAGCCCCTATATAAAAGAGAGCTTACTCGTTCATAATCTGAGGGTGAAAATTAATTACAAATTATCAGCTTACATATTACTATTTGCTCTACACCAGCTTTATGAACTGTGTTCTACACACTAATGCTTGTGGAATATAGTTATGGTCTAATCCATCTCAGAAATTATTATTTTTTCTTTGCTAGTGCAGGTGATACATTTTCGTGATCTTGCCCGTTGAACTTAACCCTCCAAAAAATAATCACTTCTAAATTGGGTCATGTCCAAATGTATACCAACTTTGTCTATACCCATTTAGCCGTTTTCTAGAAATCTTGCCAACAAACACACACACATACAATGGGGTGAAAACATAACTTCCGTCAACTTTCGGTGGCGAAGGTTATACTACATAAAACAAAAAAATTATATCAAAAGAATAACTCATTAATCCACAAGCAAAAGTATTTTGTTTTTGCAGCTAAGTATAAAGCTATACAATGGGCTGTCTGTACTGTGCCTACCACGAACCACGAGTATCGAAACCCTTTATAAGCCTTTCGACTTACCATTGAGCCACTGGGGAGCACATACATTAAGCTTTTTGTTTGTTAATTTTAGAGCAAAGCCATATTGAGGTAACTGCTGTATCTATCGCGAGGAATCGAACCTCGGATTTTATTGTTGTAAGTCCATAAACATACTGACCTATCGGGGAGGAACAGAAGTTGGACTGAAGAGAGCACATGAAAATGTTGAAACTTGTTATCCTTTTTTCGTTCGTAAGAGTGGATCCTAACTTCGTAACACCTGGTGTTCTTTCAGTTCTATGTTTTCCATTAGTCTCCATCCTACCCACAGTAAAACCAAGACTTAGGGTTGTTTTACAGCACTAGAATGTCATTATAATATCGTATCAAAGTACTTTACTTAAAACCTTAACTGTAAATAACAAAAACAAACATGTGAACAGAACCGAACGAAGGATGATTTCACCATAGGAAGCTGCCTTGATCAGTCTTTGTGAATGTAGCCTACTCAAAACGGTTCCTCGTCCTTGAACAGAACCGAATCTAAGGATGATTTCACCAAAGGAAGCTACTTTGGTCAGTCTTTGTGAATGTAGCCTACTCAAAACGGTTCCTCGTCCTTGAACAGAACCGAATCGAAGGATGATTTCACCATAGGAAGCTGCCTTGGTCAGTCTTTGTGAATGTAGCCTACTCAAAACGGTTCCTCGTCCTTGAACAGAACCGAATCGAAGGATGATTTCACCAAAGGAAGCTGCCTTGATCAGTATTTGTGAATGTAGCCTACTC